AAAGTGGGAGTTATGTCTATAAAGGACCAAAACAGAGTTCAGCACAGGTATCAAAGTCTGACTGGCATAAACAAAACACAGGGTTCTTAACACACTGCCAGATTCTGTCTGCCCCACGACCTTACTGTATGAAAAGAAAATGTGGAACTCCAAAGAGACAATGCACATCAATATCCTCATTTTACCGCAAACTTAAGGCTATAATCTCTTTCCAAAGAAGCTCCTCATGTCAACACTCATGTCAATTCTCTTTCCTGCAAAGCTGACTTCTCTGTGTGATGTGCACATGCACCTGTGAGGTCATATGTACTCATAAGTTAAGGAGGAAAAAGTAGTAAATGGGAACTAAAGAGGGAGAGAGTCCACAGTTCTGCAATATTTCATCACCTCCATTACTTGGCACGAGGCACTATGAGATCGTACCTTTAATTTCAATTACACAATTTTATGCTGCAAGTCAATTTGCACAGTTTCTAAGGAGACAAGTTCTTTAAAATCTTCTCTGGAATCCACTGATAAAAAACAGGGGAAACTAGTATAATAAGATATAATGATGAATTAGTCCCTATTGAAAAGTTATCTTTCACTGGGCCCATCAGGAAAGGCGAGATAATCACCAAACATTTTGTATTTGCTTTTCTTTACTATTATCTCCCAGCTTCATATTTTTACTGTGCATAGGCAGAGCATTAGCAATTTTCTATCTTTTTCTTTGACAAACTATCAAACAAGGAAAAAGGATTTGAGAACATGAGGCTACATGTAAACAAGAATAATATACAATATATTTTCTATTTATGCAGGTATGCCTAGTAGGTAAAACATCCATTTAAAATATAGAATCGTAGACTTATTAAGATTGGAAAAGACCTCTAAGATCAGCAAGTCCAACTGTTCACCCAGCACCACTGTGGTTTCTTGCTGAAATGTGTCCCCTAAATGCCACATCCACAGATCTTTTGAACACTTGCAGGGATGGTGATTCCACCACTGCCCTGGGCAGCCTGTTCCCATGCCTGACCACCATTTCAGTGAAGAAATTTTTCCCAATATCTAATGTAAACCTCTCCTGGTGCACATATTAGGTCATATACTTTATGAATTCTATGCTACTTCTGATTGTGAGTCCAGTAATTGCATCAAAGCAATGACTATGCAAGAAAAACACGAAATAAAATTTAAATGGAGGACTGTAACTTCAGTTTGAGGCATGGAAATGGAAAAAAGGAGGACAAGACTGTGATATATTAAAAAATAGAAAAAAAAAAAGGAAAAAAAGGGAAAAATGCTTATTTTTCAGCTTCCTCTTAGGTAATCATCTCTCCAAAATAATATCTGATATTGTCCTAGTTTCCAATGCTGTGGTAACCATTAAAAACGCATGAATCATGTTTTTGTGGGCATCTTTCTTTTCCCAAGTGAAGACAATATAAGCCATGACAGATGTAGCAATGCATGTGGTGACTGCAGAAGTGCCTTCCATTGGAAACCCTTTGGGGTTACAGCAAAGATGCAGGAAGCAGGCGAGGAGCAAGTGAACAAGTAAGTTTGAGAAGATCCTTTGGCCATTACAGATATTGTTTCAGTGCTTCTTGAAGGCAGAATAAGATTTACCAGGATATTTAAAAGGACACTGGAAAAATGTGAGCTTAATGTAGAAAGGAACACTCACCTGATGATTTGAAAAGTGGGAATCATTCAGCTTTCACAGAAAACAAACATTGTTTCCCAAGGGATTGGTTCTCCCCCTCAGCCAATACACGTTTCAATGAATCCTGATGAAGGTCTGAAGAATAATCTATATCAGCTTTATGGCAGGTAAAAACTTGAATTTGGATTTGCAGGTGTTCCAATTTCTAAGGAAATGTAAAGGAATCCAGTAATACCCACAGACAAACCAGATTCTTTCTGATACACTGACTCTCATGAGCAAAACCTAAGTCATAAAAAAGCAAACCTGGCCTCATAAGTCAACAGAATGTTTTCCATCTATCCTATGATCTACAAGAAAAAATTAACTTTCATCTAGTGGATATGGATTTCCCCCTTGTGTCTGTAAAATCAAACAGACAATCATAATTACCAGAAATACATTTAGTGAGAGTTCAGAATTCCTTTAAATGGGCCATTTTTATTTAATTCCCTACACAGATAATTTAATCCAAGTCATTCTTCTCTGAAAAATCTTGATTTATGCATTTAATAACCTCTTGGACTTCCAAGGAAAGCCAGATTTGGGACTGAATAGCTGCTATGTCAAACTAAAAATGATAAGCCAAGCTCTCTGTGCATTAGCTGTGTGCCTGGAGATTGGATTCTATAGCAGCTAATAAGGGACAAGCTCCATTTGAAGCTGTTCCCAAAAAAATAGAGTACTTGCAACTTCTATTCCCTCTTGGAGTTCTTAGCCACCTGCAGCCTACAGGGTCCTAAAAGTGACCCTTTCTTAAGCAGAGGTCTGTTCTCTTGAAACCCAGGGGAACCTCAGGACTTCGGACTCTCTTATTCCTCTGCCAAATTTGTCTGAAATTGAGCAGAGTGTTAAAAAAATACTGTAGGAAACATGGTCGGAAAAAGGCAAACCAGCCTACAACACAGCCTTTAGCATTAACAAGAGAAACAAGAGAGTCTTATTTTCCCATGACTTAAAAAGACTGATTTTAAGCAGTAGTATTCAGCCAGGAAAAATCTTTGTTAATTGAAATAAGTTTTAAGTGCTTTTTTCTTCAGACATAGTTAACCATGTAGAAACTATGGCCCACCACATACACAGGGGTTTTTTTTAGCAAATGAAAAGTTCCATTACATTGTTTACATTTTTTCAAGAACATTTTGATATTCTTTTGTTCTTCACCTGCTTTTATATTATCACATTTTTTTAAATAAGCATTTCAGTTAATTTTAGAGCACTACCTCAGACTCTCATTTTCTTTTAAGCATTATCTTTACATGAAAGTCAATGTCATATTTTCAGTATATGAAACTAAATACACATCCTCACTGTCAGGTTTTTTTTCAGTGTAGTTGCTGTTTCTCCAACCAAGTTCTAAAGTGTTTCCAAATAAGTTTAAAGACATCCAATTTATTTTTATTCTTGTAAATTGCTTTCTCAAGTGGCATTGTATCCTTAAGGTGTGATATCCAGTTATCAACTGCAAAAAATACTTAGAATTCCTCAGCATATGAAAGTATCTCTTCCAGCAATAATTAGAAGCACTGGATGTAAGGATCTACAAAAATGCTTTCACTAAGAAAGATATAAAAATACAATTCAAGAAAGATAAAGAAAACAAGGAATAGTCTAACATGAACATGCAGGATATTTATCTGTTGTTCAGCTGCAAGATAATGGAAAAGCTTTGATAGAAATTCCTTTCTTGACTAGTCCATGAGCTTCCGATACTTTCAACTACACATTATGTATTGTAAGACTCACGAGTAGTTTGCAACAACATTCAGGAGTAATTTGCAACTCAGATCTGGCTTCCTCTACAGGTAAAGGGAGACTTCACAAGGCAAAGAGTAAGAAGGAAATGATGACTTGAGCCTTGCCCATCTGCAGCCTGCCATGATGTACAGCTGGTGCTGATGCAGCCTGTACAGGTTACAACAGTGTGATTGATGGTTACTCTACCTGATCCACTGAAAATCTTCCAGTCTTCCCAAGTATGGAAGTGTCTTCCTCTTCCTCCTCCAGACTGGTTTTCTTTTCAGTTTGTATTTTTTAAACACACTCTTCTTGAACTTGGTGTTCTTCAGATAAAGAGCCCATTAATATTTCAGGTGGATTTCCTACAGCCTCCTTGGAGGAGCAGCACAGAGACACCAGTTGCAAGCTCTCTTCCATGCTAGGACAAATATGACTGAACTATTTGGGAGAACATTATTCAAAACCAGACAGAAAACCGAAGCTGAGACTAAGCAGAAGCCTGCCTGGCGAGGCCAAAGCTCCCAAAGTGTGGTGGTTATTGACTGCAAAATATGGGCAGTCACCTAGAGAAAGTATCTGTGACCTTTGCATTATAATTATTAAATGGGTAAAGATCTTGTTTCTATTTTCACAGCCAACTTACCTTATGCCCACATCATCATGTACCCACCCATGTGTGCCACTGCTTCCCCTGGCTCTGACTCTGTGTCCTGTTTACATGGTACCCCCTCTGTCTTCACAACACTGATTTTTTTTTAACAACTCAGTCAACTGTCAAATTCTTCATCTGGGTGAGATTTATACTGCCCAAGTTTTTGACTCTTAAAGCATAACTACAGTGGATTATGGTTCTTGGATATAGCAAGAAATTAAGTTTCTTTGATTAAGTGTAGGAATACAGCTCTTCTTTAGGGAAATACCTTCGGAAGTGATCTACCAGCACTCTGAGTACAGCAAGAACAGCATCAACCTACGTAAAGTTTATGCGAATGACAAAAGTATATTAACATTAATTTAAAAATATATTCATACCTAGACAATATGCCAGAATTGTCAGAACTTAGCTACAAGGTCTAACTTTTTAAAAAACATTTTTAGGTTCATTCTTCCTCAGCTGCAGCTAACAAGCCCTGAAATGTCATTGCTTACAGGCTATTTGCACGCTCAAGCTAATCTACTTTTAAACTCTTCTGGTTTTTTGACCCAAGGGAATAAACTGCAATCAAATACAAATTGCAAAAATATTCAGCATTATAATTCAGTTTCCTAGAACCTGAGTTTACAGTTATCTCTGGTTTCCATTTTCATATCTATAAATCCCACCCTTCTTACACAACAGATGAATCTCAATCCGTAAACAGTTCTGCCCAGGAGTTTTACTGTATTTACACTCCTACCACATTTCATGATCGTTTTCCCCCTGTCACATTTTTCAGGAGACAAAGTCCCCCTGGACTGCTGCCAATAATTTTTCAGAAATTTACTTACAGTAAATGCTTCTCAATGACCTGTTGAAAAATAAAACTCAACACGTACATAATAAAATTAATGCGCCGTTAATGGTTCCTACCAGCTCACTGCCAAGTCGTGCACTTTTAGAATGTTGCTCAGTTGATACTCTCCAGATTTCAGGGGTTGAGTATGTTCTTTAGCACACTCAAGGTATGTGTTCACTTCAGTATCAACAGGGAACTCTGAATCCTGGAGAAAGACATAAAATTATTAATTCTCAGAAACGCTACATAACTTCATACAATGTACTACCCACTATTTTGAAAATACAATTTTGCCTTATTTTTTCCTCCTCTATTTTTCTCCTCTATTCAATTTTTATCCTGATTTTATTAATTTTGATACATACTGTTAAAGCTTACTGCAAGTATAACTGTAAGACTGGAGTCTATAGCAAACAACTGAACACTTAGTTTGTTCTTTAAAAATTATATTCCTATGAGTTAACTTCTGGGCAGTTATATGAATTGCTCTAGAAAGAGATCAACCATCAGTACTAATCATTATCTGTAACTAAGTATGAATTCACTGTTCATACCAGCAAAACCCCTTCTTCCTCCAAAACAGCAAAAAACACTTAGGTGGTTCAACACACCAGTAAGAGGAAAGAAGACACCACTGTGGATGCAGTGAGAGATAATAAAAAATGGCAAATAAAGTTTTTCTGTCATTTATACTCACAAAATAGTTCATGTAACAATATGGGTGTAAGTGACAAAACCTCAGCCTGATCCTTGTATTGTTCATGCCATTTATGTACCTGCTACTGGAGTAAGTTATGATGCTCAAAAAAAGGAGGTTGTTGAATTGTTAGTATAAAATCCCTTACATTAAATTCAGGAAAATCTCTTGTTTTAGTAACTATTTTGTGGAAGACAAACAAAAGTTAAAGTCAAAATTCAGGTAAATTAATTAATTTTCCTCAAACAATGTTTTGAAGTTGTTGAACAGCAAGTTTAAAACTAGCAATTTAAGACACAGTGACTTGTCCTACTATTAGAAGAAGTTAACTTCTATAAACCTTTCCATTTCATCAATGAGCAGCTGGAAGGCTCCTTCAGTTTGGACCTAAAGAACTACTCCCATTGTCCAAATTGTATTTTATCTTCTTCTCTTTATTTTCTCTAGGCTTTCCTCCCCTACTGGAGATGATAAGAACAAAGCTGAGTTGTACTACCAAGCTCAGTGCAGCCCAGCCTGTGGTGTAATTAATGAATTATCAACTAAATGAAACATTTCCTACTAGGATTATAAATGGAAAAAAGCTTGTACGTGGACTACAGTAACAGGCAGCTCTGGATATGCAGCTTTGACAGCCTCTCCAAAGCAGCAAACCAGGGAGACAGCATCTACCTTGGATCTGCACCTCTGGAACAATCAGTTACAGAGCTGGAGCAAAGTCCTTTTTCGGGACTCTATATTTGAGCATCAATTTATTTGTAATGGTTAACTACATGCTTGAAAATCACAAATAGTTAAACCACATGCTTTAAAATGACCAAAACTAAAGAAAAAGCTGTTACTATGGGACTGGGTGACAGAGCTAAACTGCCAGAATTAAATGCATGTATTTATGTACACAGTGAGTCTCTGACCTACTGCAAGACACTGTACAGTCTGACCAGAAGCAGATCATAGTCTGAGGTCACAACTGTACAGTCCACTTGGCCTCACCTATGCACAGCTAACAGGCCCCAAAAAGCAGATTAGACAAGTATGATCATATAGAATTTAGCTGAGAACATCTGTGAGCCTGCACAGGCTTTAGTCTGTCCCAGGGACACTCACAGAAAAGCTGAGGAGACCAAGAGTGAATTCCACTGGCTTAGTGAGGTACAGTACAACGAGCCAGTTCAGGTGGGATTAACAGGGATCTGCTTTGACCTGACACTTCAGAAGCTGAGGACAAGGACCAGAAAGCTTCCAGGCACACCAGGCAGGGAAGAGAAGCTGCATCACAACACCTCACATGAATTGTAGAGAAAGAAACATCAGCAGCTGCAAGAAGCCTCATGGGAAAAACTGGCTAAGAAAACCGGCATTCTACTGACAAAACACCGGACTAGAACTGGGAATGAAGGTTTATATCAGCCCCGCTCTGCAAGGTTACTGGCATGTGCTATTCTCCATTTTTCCATTTGCTCTCTATCCCTATTTTCCATGGAGGTTAGCCCTATGACTTGCATTAACAGGCAAAGCCACTGTATTCTTCAAAAGATCTTCCTTGCAAGTGTAACACTCTCAAAAAGTCAAAATACATGTAGTTAATCTTGCAGCCTCATTTTCCTTGAGTGCGGTCTAAGATTAGTCAGCAGACTAGGAGATTTATTACTAACTCTAATTAACCAAGCTAAATGGCTTTATTAAAAATAGATTGTCATTAAAGAATGTAAGGAGGGCAACAGTGCACAATATATTTTAAGGACTGCACCAGTCATTACAAAACCACTTCCCAAGACACCACAGATTGCTGAAGACTTGGTTGATGGTTTGTGTTTGTAACATTTAGGAAATTCTGCTGTGAGAAGCTTTAAAGGAAAGACTGAAATTGCCATACTCTTTAAAATGTCCATCAACCGGTAAGATTAAAAAGGGAATAAAATGAATGTATTTTAACCTGAAAATGCACACACACAGCAGGGATAACCACTAACTTTTTAAAAAATTGTTTGCACTAAACTTGGTGGGAGCCACCCCGTTAATTTGTAGGAATGAGCATACAACAAATTTCAGAACTACAAACTGTCAAAAGAATATAATTTTGTCTCCCATTTCAGAAGCTCTCCAAACTGCATGTTCTACAAGGATGCTATTAACCAGAGTCAAACTTTTTAAATGATTATGAAGATAATTAAGCTAATGACTTAATGATCAGTGTGAGCACATCTATTACAGACCCAAGACCTGGAAGACATTTTCAGTGGACTGTGGCTTCAATCGCAAGATAATAAATAAGGGTTACTTTAATCTGGCATTGTTAATATAGGCAGGAATCATAATATGTTTGTGACTAAAGTTCCAGATTTTTATAGAATTGCATGCCAAGTTCTGATTGTGTTTCAGCCTCACTATTCTCACAGATCTCTGAAGTCCATTTGAAGAAAAATCCACAGATTTTCCAAAGTTAGGAAAGATTAAAATAAATCTGTGGTATTTATTACATACAGACTAAAGAGCAGAGTAAGGAGATTAACTAGAAGTGAGTATAGTCCCAGTATGTGTCACTGCCTTCATGCAAATCTTTCTTTCTGTACTCCTTGTCTGACAAAAGTTTCACCTTTCAAGCACTGCAAATTTGAACAACTAAAATTATAAAGCAAAAAAGACATACTATAAGCATGCTTTTTGCAAACTGTTCTCATTCACTTTCTGGAGCCAAACCAATTAGCAAATGCTACCAGACTCAGTCATTTCAGAGTGAAACAAATCTAGGAAAGATGAGGCAGTCTGAATAGAAGTGACTGAAAGTCTTGCATTTTCCAGTAGAAAACAATCCCCAGATACTACTTCAGGAACTACTGCTGGAAATGATTGCTGTAACATTCAAAAATATCATAAAAAGAGGATAATATAAAATATTAATATTTTTACCATTCCTGACTATCTGAAGTACTTCTGAAACTATAGTTTTTTCCTCTTGGCAGTGATAATCCTGTATCCTACTAGAACAAGGGACTTGGCCTCAGCTGTTGAGACAATTCAAAGCTGTGGTTCCTACTGCTGGGTCTGAGTGGCATCAACAGTGGTATTGCTTGTGATGGCCCCATGAAATGCTGATTTCAGGAGCTCTCCAGCACACACCAGGTGGCAGTCACAGGGTGAATTTATCAAGTCTTCCTCTGAGTTGATTTCCTGCCTGAGAAAGCTACCAAGGAGTTTCGATGCAATACCAGCCTAAGGTGTTCTCTCACAGTATTTCCAGGATAGATTATCACTGTCTTCATTTAACAAGGTATCAGAACTTCAGTTTATGTGAGGCATTGCTCAGTATGTATGTTCTGAGCTCCTCAAAAGGAACACAAGTTACCTACGAAATTAAAGGTCAATATAGATTATTTTCCCCCAGATACAAATATTTATCCCTAGAAAATAAATGTGGTATTTTTATCCTAAAAGCTTCCTACAGTAAAAATGTTCAAGAATGCTAATACAAAGACAGCTCTTCTCCCCTAACAAATTTGGGCAATGAAGTGTCATTATTTAATCTTTATTCGATTATTTCCAATTGCTAAATCCTTAGGGGAACAGAGAATCTATTATACAAGCTGAGACCTTGCATAACAAGGCTCTGTGAAACATGTTTATTACAAACACTGATTGCAAAGTCTGATGCTACTTCAGCACTGGGAAGAGTCATGTGCATGCCAAAATTCAGGAAAATGTACCGAGTGCTAAGGAGTCAAAGCAATATAACACGGTTTTGTTCACTCCTGTATCTGCCATGTACTAGACATTTGTACTATGACAAACATGAAAACCTATTAAGCTTCCCTTACATCCATATGAAAGAGAAAGCTATGCCCTTCCTGCCTGTGAAATTAAACACCCCATTACTTTATCATCAAAGGCAAGGAACACTGCATTCAAAAAAGCATCTCAGAAAGAATCTCTGTGAACCAACCCCATTCTCAGTGTCCTCTGACAATGTCACTGGCAACGGTAAAAGCAGACAGTACATTGTCACTGCCCAAACTGTCACTTCACAGCTACACTACCCCTTATCTAAAGTCACAGGTGTAACAGCCTATCAGCCACCCACAGAAAGCTGCCATGACTCTTAGGCTATTTACACACAGTATTTCCAGAGTTCTCTAAAATAAAAGGCAGTAAACTACAAAAGTCAGGATTGCAGGAACTCAAAGGCATTTCATGCCCCAACACTTCACAGGTCTGAAAACAAAAACCAAACCAGAAGGAAGACAAATACCTTCCCTTTTTAGTTTGTTTGTGGTGTGTGTATATGGGGTTTTTCCGTTTTATTTAAGAGTCTGAACAATATGAGGATTTACAATTTACCCCAGACCAAGCTGAAATTCTCTGGCACAGCTGCTAAACTCAACTCATATCCTCTGAGTCTCAAACCATTCCTTAATTTTTCTGAATGAAACAAATCTTGTCTTGATGGAAACTGTTACGCAATTAAAGCAATTTACCCTTAAAGCTCTTGGAAATCTTTCTTTTCTGTCCAA